ATGTGTCGTGCTCCGTTTTTATCTTTCGGTGGTCAGGCTACGGTTTTCAAATTACCCTCTCGTGTTTTGTTTGGCCCTTGTTTAGAAATACAGGCTGCGTGTGTCGCCATATGCATGTCCGGCATTTTTTAATACGTTTAGAAACTTCGCACACAACCGCATTAGAGACCATTTGAATGGATTTTCTAATCGATAATGGTTCAATTTTTATGGCGCAAAACTTGCACTGAATTCGTTTCAAACAACAAACTCTTGTCATAGGCATCTGCGTGTAATATAGTGATCGAACGTCCATCAATACCAGAGTGAGTAATAGAGAATATAATAAAGAATTAATAGAGAATTAATGAAGAAACAATAGAGAATAATTCTTATTAGTTCACTCCTGCATGGGGCGGTTCCCGAACTGATTAACTTAATTATGATTAAATCACTAAATCATACTTAACTTCCTGTAATTATGATTAGTGATTTAATCATGATTAAATACTTCAAGTACGCGTTCGTGAACCGTCCCCTGACGTATAGTGTGATCTTAATTAGCAGTGCGCTGGTAAGATTTCGTGGGAGGTGGCGTACGTGTTGGGGTATATTAAGTTGTAGTAGCTAATGAGAAGGGGTAAGTTGTAGTAGCTATTGTACTAGGTAATTGCTGTACGTAGGTAAGATGTAGTAGCTAATAGAACACAGCTAATAGTAGGGGGGGGGTGCGTGATATTATGTAGTGATGTATTATATTTGCAAGCATTGCAGCGATCAGTGAACACGTGTGTAAAGGTGCCACTGTTGTCATGTCAAATTGCTGTATATGATTCTACACAATTGAACCACTAGACGCGGGAGAGCGAGAGGAGGGGAGGCAAGAGAGCGAGACGAAAGAGAGCGAGGAGAGAAGAGAGAGAGAGATAGAGAGCGAAGAGAGAGAGAGAGAGAGTGAGAGCGAGAGAAAAGAGAGAAGAGCAGAGGAGCGAGAGAGAGAGGGAGAAGAGAGAGAGAGAGAGAGAGATGAGCAGAGAGAGAGAGTGAAGTGACGAGCGAGAGGGCGAGAGAGAGAGAGAGAGATGCAGAGAGCAGAGAGAGAGAGAGAGAGAGAGAGAGAGAGAAGAGCAGCGAGAGAGAGAAAGAGAGAAAGAGAAGAAAGGAGAGAGAGAGAGAGAGAGAGAGAAAGAGAGAGAGAGAGGAGAAGAAGAGAGTATGTAGAGAAGAGAGAGAGAGAGAGAGGAGCAGGCTGAGCCATTGCTCGCGGCAGATTCCCACGCCATTTGACTCGCGCGTCGAATTAGTCCAGGAAGCGAGGCGCCGCACAACGTAGCGTGACCTTCACTACACGTTGCTGGCCTGCTGCTGCTAGCGTCAGTGTGGGCCGTGCTAGTTGAACGATCGGTCGCCTTCCTCTCGTGCGCTTTGTTTGGGGGGGGGTGCGCCTGACAGGAGTCAGAGTAACTAATATACGTGCGTGCGTGCGTCGTGGTGCGTGCGTGCCTGGCAAGATGCAGGTGATCGATAATCGATGTGCTGAAGCCGCCGTACCTGGATAGCGTCATCCTGTTGTGTGGCTGCATGCGTGACAATTCGTCTTTATAGTGTTCGGCTGGGGAAACGAAGGAAGCTAGGTGCTGAGGGAAGAGGAGGTGAGTGAGTGTTGACTAGCTATCCTGTTTTGTCATTATTATTATTACTGATGATATATATCTATATATATATATATATATATATAATATTATATATCAGAAAGTTCATAAATAGAAAATTCTTCTATTAGGTACTCTTGATATTATGTGTGTATGTAAATCAATATGCAGCGCGTGACTGTATAGGCTGAATATATGCGCTGACCAAAATTATTTTCGCACATGTGCGACATGTGCAAATGTTGGACAGCCTCCCATATACCTCCCCTTGAGCCTTGTTCTCTACGAGGTGCCGGGCCACGAAAGGGGTCGAAGATAAGCGATGGTGCCGATGTCCCGGGGCCATCAATCATCAGGATGAACCATTCAGATTTTCAAAGTCAAATGTCCGACGGAACCATTGGAATATTTTTTGTCCCATTTTACGTGGAAATTTTCTTTGAGTTTCCACGTGTCGATTATTTGCTGATCCGTGTTGCACCATAGCAAATGTTTGGCATGATTGTAACAATGAGAACAATTTCGGAGGACCATCTAAAATTTCGGAGGACCATCTGAATTTCAAACTAGATGGTTCTGTGGTCCATCTCTTTTTCTCTCCTTATTTCTACTCCCGGCGTGGGTATACGCACATACGTACAGTGAACCCACCTGCCGATTACCTGTTCGCGAACCCTCAGGTTAATGTCCAGGAACGCCCATCCCGTGCGTGTTTGAGGCGACACCGCGGCAGTAGTGTAATACCGATGATGCGTGGACCAGTTTCTTTTCGCAAAACTTGGCACAAAAGGCGCGCTGTGTTTGTTCGCCGCCGCCATGCTATACAGCAACGCTTCTGTGGAATACCGTATAACGGGTTGTGACCCCAAGACAGGTCGGCCCTTGTTAAGAAACATCGCAAAGTTAAAGCCTGACTGCTAAGCTAAGATGGCACTTACGACGAATGTCATGTTACGAGAAATAGCGTTGACAGAAACGCCATCGCAGCTATAGAAAAACTTACGATAGCTAGCTGGGTTTAATTAGATTAATGTGAATATTAGACTGGGTTTGATGGGAATGGATGGGTTGATTGAATGGATTGAGATGGAATAGGATAGATGGATGGATGGATGGGATGGATGGATGATGGATGGATGGATGGATAGATGGATGATGGACGGACGGACGGACGGACGCGACGGACGGACGGACGGACGGATGGATGGATGATGCGATGGACGGTCGGACGGTACGATGGATGGACGGACAGACGGGTGGATGGATGAGCGGACGGACGCGACGCGACGACGGATGGATGGATGGATGGTCGGACGGACGGATGGATGGGCGGTCAGACGGGTGGATGGATGACGGCTTACAAGGATCAACGCATTAACTAGTCCAGCCGTGCATAATGGCACTGTTGTCGCACAATCGCGGATCCGATATCAGACGGAAGTGTATTGAATTCTAACAGTAATCGTTTTTTTCCTTCATAGAGAGAGAGAGAGAGAGAGAGAGAGAGAGAGAGGAGAGAGAGAGAGAGAGCAGAGAGAGAGAGCGAGAGCGAGAGGCGAGAGAGAGAGAGAGACAGAGAGCAGAGAGAGAGAGAAGAGGAGAGAGAGACGAGAGAGAGAGAAGAGAGAGAGGAGCAGAGAGCGAGAGAGATAAGAGAGAGAGAGAGGAGACTGGTTTTATTTTTGGGTACATAGTTTGGTCTTGCGCACGGCCGTCTGAACGTTGTTGGATATGTCGGTCGTGCGGTGACCGTCGCGTACGTGCGTGCGTTTCGACGCGTGCATTCGTGCGTATGCGTCCGTTACGCGCGTTTCGAGCGTGCATTCGTGCGTGCGTCCGTCCGTACGTGCGTGCATTTCGTGCGTGCGTGCGCCGTAACGTGCGTGCGTTCGAGCGTGCATTCGTGCTCGTTGCGCGATATTTATTTCTATAAACAGACGATGCTACAGTAGATTGGGCCGTAGATCTTCTGCGTATATTCGATAACATTTCTGTCGCATTGTGTGGCTTCAATTCGCCGTCGTTGGATATAACCATAAAAAATGTCGACAATACATGTTTTCGTGGCTGCGGCGAAGCGTGGAAATGTTGTGGTCGCGTTGCGCCACTCCGGCAAACTCGCACGCATTATAGGGTCCCTATATACCAGATATGTAATATAGGAACCCTAGCACGCATGTTAGCTCTAGAACTATAGCCCTTCGTACCGCCACATGTAGCTGTGGTGGAGCGAAGGGCCTATAGTTCTAGACACTGGCACTTGAGCGGTTTCAATAAAACTATAATGCTAAATAAATACGAAAATCTATTTATCTATCTAAAAGTCTTAATGTTTTCATACTCTCTTTCACACTATTATTGCCGACCGAATAACATCATTTATTGCCAGTGCATGGTGCAGCATGCAGCTAAGGCGTGCGCGGCCAGGGTTTTGTTGTAGATGAGCATTTGGACGGAATTTACAGGAAATTGTCGCCAATAATAGGTTGAAAGAAAGTAGAGAAACATTAGACTTTGGTCAGTAAATAGATTTCGTATTTAATTTAGCATTATATTTATTGAAACGCTCCAAGTGCCTGGTGGTTGCTATAGAGCTAGCATGTATCATATGGTATGTATGCCAGTGGGCGCGCAGAAATTACGCAGTGCTGCTGGAAATGCTCGGTGAGGATCACCACGGCGTGATAGGTTAAACAAACGATCCGTCAATCGGCCTTACAGGTAAACACTAAACAGTGACAATCAGAAGGAGCCGACAGCACGGCCACCGCGCAGGTAAACACCAATCACGGGTATAACAGGTATGCGCGGCCAGGTGTTTAGAGTAATTAACTAGACACGTGAAAGGTAAACAAAGTGAAGAAAATCGCGTAAATAATAACATGCATTAGTTGCAACAGGTAGAATATATATTGTGTAAAGTTGTTAGAGTAATTAACTAGACACCCGTGCATGTA